CAATTTCATGTTAATAATGCATTAGGTGAATTATGGATGTTTTTGGAGTCTGTACTTTTTAATGCATCACCAAAAATGTAGAAGAATGCTAATATTTTATTTTTTTTAAAAAAAGAATAGGAGGTGGATCAATGCAATATTTGAATTCTTTGGGCATTCAAACTACAATGTGTTTTTCTAGTACATGTAAGATTAGTATATTCTGAAAATGCTCATTTTGCCTTATCAGAAAAAACTGGTTTTAGAATTTTGGCTGTGCTTCATCTATTGCTTGTGTGATATCTTTTGGTATTGTTACCAAGCATTTTATTTAGTGCTACTGTGTTTAAGCCTTGTAGCCATTAGTTTACTAATCTGCAAAATGGGACTAATAAAGCCCACCTTATAGATTTCCTGTGAGAATTAAATGCGATATTGTATGAAAGCACCAGCATCATTTTCTGTTGTTACTTTTACCATGTAAGAAAATACACTTGTTTTTGTGAGCTAGATCATATAGTGGAAAACTGAACAAAGTAAAAACAATGTCATTTTAAATGTCTTTGCTGGGTTTTAAAATATCTGTCTGTAAAAGTTATGTATTAATGAATACTGGGAACAACTTTAACTCCTTTTCTCATTTACCTTCAAGTCAAATCTTTATGGAAGAATGGTTCACCCTGTTTCAAAGTGATCGAGTATCTTACCAGGGCCCACAGAACACCTATGAACATGGCAGTGAACCCTTCAGAACCTTAACTTTTAACTTGTTTATGCTGTGGCTGTCAGTTTCTGATTAGCTCAGCCTCGCCCATGCTTTGACCTATACTAGTTTGCTTTACAAGCTGTTCCCAGAATGGCTAAATTAGAAGAGTCACGAGTAGAAGCCTCAGTTATTTCCATTCACTGGTGAAGTGAGGTGGGAATGTGGATGGTAGCCCAGAATGCTTTGTGACTGATGTGTGACCTAGGATTTTGATGAAATTTGTTTTACTATTTTTATTAAGAGTAAAATTTTGCTAGTATACATTTTTTGGTATTAAAAATTGTATTTTGCCTTTTAAACACAGTATTTGACCACATATTATCAGTATTTCTGACAGCTTTTTTGTTCATTTCATTTCAATTGAAAAGATTTAACCAATTTAAGGCTTCAGAGCAAGACCATCCTACTGATTTTTTTTTTAATGACAGCAGAATGCATTTTGATTCCTTGTACACAATTGCAGCACAACTTTACATTTCTGTGGTTGTACATGATGGAGCGTCACACCATATGTGCAGTCATACATGTACCGAGGGTAATGATGTTCATCTCATTCTACCATCTTTCTTGTCTCCATGCACCCTCCCTAACCTCGCTCCCCTTTGCTCAATCAAAGTTTCTCCATTTTTCCCATGCCTCCCCTCTCCCCGTTTGGATCAATGACCATCTTTAAAGAAATGTATATTAAGTTTGTACAACAGTCTTGGTGTATAGAACACATATAATTTTTTAAAGCAATATGATTCTAACATGGAAGTAAAATTTTATTGTTTATTTTATTGTTCCATTTCATAATTTTACCAAAATAGATTATTTTAGATCACTTAGCAAGATAACTTAATAATATTAATCTTAACTTCTCAGTCATATTCATTAAGAAAAGAGGATGCTTGGATGTACGAAACAAGCATGCTCAGTGTTGTGCTTAGATGTAAATCTTACACACCAGGGCTTAAAATCTTGCTTGAAAAAGAGCATTAGTGCATGATTTATCACTCAGGTTGTATTTGTTGATGTGTGTGTGTGTGTGTGTGTGTGTGTGTGTGTGTGTTTATATGTGCACACACAGTGCTGGGGATTGAACACAGTGGCCTTGCGGATGCTAAGCATGTGTTCTACCACTGAGCTGCATCCTTGGCCCTTACATACCTATTTTCAAAGTCTGTTCTTTTAAAAACATTTTGTTTTAGTCTCATTTGGATTCATTTAGTAAAAACTGTTATGTACCTCAGTATACCTTTTAAGCAAAGTATTTGTTGACCTGTCTTAAGGTAGTATTTTATCATTAACTGAATAACTTGAATATTTGCACATCCCTAAGAAATTTGTTAATATATACTAAAAATTAAATTCTACTTTCATTGCCAAGCTTTTGCTAAGATTAATATAGGTTTTAGCATCTTAATATCTAAATTAGTGATTATATGAGTCTAAAATCATTTGCCTTAAAATAAATTTACTATGCCATAGATAAATGATAATCTAGATTATTTATGTTCATTAGTTGGTTTTTGGTAGAATGGTGTTCTATTTTATAGAGAAATGGTGTCAGTTTTTTTCATTGTTCTCAATATGTGAAGTAATAAATGAGAGTTTGCCTTCCTAATTAGTGGTTATTTTAGGAAATACCCTTCCTATATTAAAAAAAATAATAATGCTGGCCACTCTTCTAAGAAGACTATTAGAGATAACAGCCTAAAATTTGTTTTCACAGGCTATTGAACTACATTGTCACTGGACATTACCAGATTGATAGGTACTGATCATGACAAACTATTATATAATGATATCTGTAGTTTCCATAATATGTTTGAATTGATAGAAATATTTATTTCCATATATGCCCTGTTTAGGATGTTAGACTTACCCCCTATTATAACAGTATTTAGGGGAGGCCCATAATGTAATGAACTAAATATTTCACGAAGGGGATTGGAACAGCAGTCAGGAGTGGCTCCTTTTAGCATCAAGTGATGTTAGTGGCTGTACACTCTGGAATATACAGTTTCCCATGAAATAGTGTAGTATCTTCCTTAGCTATTCCCTTGTTGGGAGATATGTTAAGCATGATGTCAGGGGTATATTCTGTATGACTTAGTCCCTTGGGATTTGAGGTCATGCTTTTTTCTTGTAGGTGATTTTAACTTTAAAATTCATCTGTTTTGTGAATATGTAAGAACTGGGTGTGCTATAAAATTCAAAAGGTACAAAGATATATACTTTAGAAAGTCTTCCTCTTACCTCTCTATCCCTTAGTATCCTTGGAGAATATTGGTTTTGGTAGTTGGAATTTTATTTTGTTTGAAATGTTTCTCTTAACATTTCATGCACTGTTTTTCTTTTCCATGAAACCATGTAAAGGTTTAATTGAAATGTTCTCTTTCAAGGATATAACTTAAGGTTTTGGGGAGTTGTTTTGCATACTAGATTTAAGTGAGAACTTCAAATAAAGTAAATTTTCTTTATGATTTAAAAACTTGATTTTTTCCCCCTTTGACATTTGTAGACATACAGTTAGGGACTGTAAATTGCATGCTGGAGTTTGTTTCTTTTTTTTCTTTTTTTGGTACCAGGTATTGAACCTAGGAGGCTCAACCACTGAGCCATATGCCCAGCCCTTTTTATTTTTTTCATTTTGAGACAGAGTCTCTCTAAGCTCCTGAGGCTGGCTTCCAACTTGCGATCCTTCTGCCTCAGCCTCCCCAGCTGCGGGATCACAGGTGTGCATCACTGCCCCTGACTGTGCTGGAGTTTTTTCTGAGGGAAGAATATCATTCACCTTATAAATCAAAATGTGATCTTATGGCTTTAATGTGTATTTCTTTTGTTAATAAGGTTGAACATCTTTTTGTTTAATGGTTTGTTGTTTATTAAATGTTTAGTATTTTCTTCACATATTTTAAATCTTGTATTTATTTATTTACTTATTAATAATTTTAGTTGCAGATGGACACAATACCTTTATTTATTTTTATGTGGTGCTGAGGATCGAACCCAGGGCTCACATGTGTGAGGCAAGTGCTGTACCACTGAGCCACAACCTTAGCCCCTAAATCTTATATTTAAAATATACAAAATCACAATACAATTTGTTTATGTTTTTTCTATTGACTATATCCCCCATTTCTTTGCAGTGTCATACCACTTTTTATCTTAATATTGCATAGTGCTGGTTTCATTTATTACTGCTTTTTAAGAATTTTTAAGTCTGTTAATTTATAGATTACTTTTGGTGGGCTAGGCACTGTGCTGAATATTGGGATTTGTTCTGTATCTGGATACAGAAATGAACAAAGTTCTTGCCTCCACAGAGCTTAGATTTTTAATAGGAAATTTGGTCCAATGTATCTTCCAGACTTTTAAAATGTATGCATTTATATTGATCATTTATGTGCAAAAAACACATTATTAATTTATGTATCATGTATTTATTTAGAGTTTACTAAATGATAGGTTCTGCTTTAGGGTAAAAGGTATTCTTGGGGAGTAAGACAGAGAAGGCTCTTGCTTTTGTGGAGCTTCTCTTTTAGTAACAAGCAGCCAGGATAACATAAGCTAAGTGCCACACAGAGGACTGAGGAACAGGTTGGCTCTCAGGGAGCTTTAGGTTTGGTAGTCAGGGTATGCCCATCTGAAGAGACGACATTCATCTAAGCCACGAGAGACACAGGGACAGTGATTGCAGTGCACCAGGATAGAGGAACAGGTCAAGTGCAAAGGTGAGACATTTGAGAAAAGTTGAGAAGAGCCAGGAAGGCCAGCATGGCCACATCACAGTGGTGAGGGAGGGGGCTAACAAGAGGACAGAGATGTGTGCAGAATACTAAAGGCTCTGGAAATCAGAACCTAGAGTTTAGAACTTACTCTAAGTGTGATGGGGAGCCATTGGAGGATACTGAGCAGGAGCTGAAATGTTCCCTCTTGATTGTATGTGAAGAGAGGACTGGGGGCCAAGAGAAGGAGCTGGAAAAGCAGTAGATTGCCTTTCTCCTTCCTTTTCCATTTCATATTTCCTGCATGTTAGTCCCAAATCTTTTTCACTTTGTACCTGCTTTTATGGTAGTTCTTAGTTATATTGTATTGTGTTTGTCTTTCCCCTAACTAGAGAATTCCAGATTCCATATCTAATTTCCTTTTGTATTATCAACTTCTCTTGAACAGTGTTTCACAAATAATAAATGCATGTTTGCTTAATTGCATTTTAGATCACATTTCATTGTTGTGTATTAAAATATATGCTTTTTTTTCCCTCTAGAGGCGTGGAGCTATTTCTTATGACAGTTCTGATCAGACTGCACTGTACATTCGTATGCTAGGTAAGTACTAATTTATTTTGTATCAATGTTAGTTAAATTATCATGTTATTTGAGGTAGAGGTATCTTTCATTAGGTAGCTTTCATCGCTGGTTATAGCAGAAATTATTAATTTCACTAAAGTTTAGAATCTGGAAGCCAGTATTGAATGTGATATGAATAAAGGAAAGCATTCTTCATGAAAAGTAGTATTATAGGGTTGCTTCATACTAAAGAGATGATTGCCAAAATGGATGAAGACGAGGCCATGAAATATCTGATCAGATAGTCCTGTCGCTGGAAGTGTTTTGTTTTCAGTTGTCTGGCAAGGAAAACCATTTGTCTTCTTTTAGTCCTAGTGCTTAAATTTTTGATGTATTACTCAATTTTATAGGTAAATTACTTTATATATATATATATATTTTTTTTTTTTTCTTCTCGCTTCATTCATACACTCCACAATCGCTTCTTTTTAATTCATACTATCGAATGTATATTCAGGTCCCAATAGGCAAATTTTCTCATTTTTTGTTAGAGGAATCTTCCTGTGGCTCTTCTCATCTCAGAATTCCTCCCTAACTTTAAGATACTGAGCACTGAGCCATCCTTATTTTTTAGCTACCTGTTTGTTCTTTGCTTCCTTCACAAATTGCTTTTCATACTCTTCAGCCCAAATATTCCCCAAGGCCCTCTTATTCCTTTTTTCTCCTCTTTAATTTATCTTGTGCATCTCACCTGCCTCAATTCTGTTCTAAGAGCTGGGGTATAGCTCAGTAGTAGAGCATTTGTCTAGCATGAGCAAGGTCCTGGGTTCAATCCCCAGCACCACCAAAACAAATTCTGTTCTCCTTTAGAATATACTTTTTTCCTCATGAATGTTCAGCTTTTTCCTCTTTACTATCTCCACTTCTAGAAACATGTTTAGGATTCTCCTATCCTTAAAGCAGAGTTTCAGACTCACATTTTCTTTAATTTTATGGACCATCTCCACATAGGTATGTTATGAATACCTCATGCTTAACGCATCTGCAAATTGATTTTGTGTTCCACAGGTCTGTATGGTGGTCTTTTGCCATCTCAGTAAATAAAACTCCGTTCTCCCCATTGTCAAGTCAAAAACTTAAGAGTCATTTTTTATTTCTCTTTCTTACATACTCCATGTCTAATTTATGAGCAAATCCTCTGGGCAGACACCTGCAAAATACATGCAGAATCTCACCACCCCAGTGTTGTTACCAGCCCAATCTAAACCATGATTGTTGCCTCATCTCTTGAACTTGTTCCTTGACTGGCCTTCCTACATTCACCCGTGTGCCTCCCCTCTATTCTAGTCTGCAGCCAGAAAACCTTTTCAGACAAAGCTAAGTCATCTTACTCTTCTGTTCAGGATCCTCCGATGGTTTTCTGAGAGAACCAGCCACAGCTATTACAATGACCACAAAGGCCCAGTGTGATCTGGTCCTACTGCCTCTCTGACCTCACCTCCCAGGAGTTCCCTCACTTATCTCTCTCCTGACATGCTGGTCTCTGCTTGTCTTGGAACATGCCAAGCATGCTGCTTTCCTAGAGTGTTTATACTTGCTTTTCCTTATGCTCTGAAACCTCTCACTTCTGATAGTCTTGTGGTGCACTGTCTTACTTCCCTCACATCCCTGCTTGTTTTCAATAGGGACTTCCCTTCACATGTTTGAATCACTGCCCCCCCCCCCCCATTTCTCTTTAGTGTTCTCCATGTAAAGTCTTCCATAGAATTAAATTGTGTATTTGCTTTATTATTTGTTTTATCCCATAAGATAAAGTTCATGAGGACAGGGACTTTCTGTATTTTGCTTACTGATATATGTGGAGTGCCAGATGTGAGGAGCACTTTTTTGTCACACATGAAAGAGGTGATTAGATCTTATGAGTTGGAGTTAAGGTAGATGGAATGAACCTGGAAGGAAGTAAGTGATGTTCTTACGTAGAGAAACAAAGGGTAACAAAATTGCAAGAGCACAGGGGATGGGACTGAAGACTTGGGGTTAGGAGATTGAAGGTTGTAAAAATGTAATGGGAAGACTGCTCTCTTTGGAACCCACAGGGCTAGGTTTAAATCTTCGCTCACTGTTTACATTAACTTTGTGGCAGGGAACATTGCTATTTAACTTCTCAAAGTCCAGTTTCTGCATCTGTAAAATGTGGATGAAGATTCCTTTGGCTCTTTGACTAGGGAACTAAATAAAGCAATGTCTGTAAGACAAAAAGAGTGCCTTGTATATGGTTGGTACATAAATGTTTCTGTATAGAGAAATGAGTCTGTCCAAAAATCACATGAGTACATGTAGGAACAACGCTGAGCTTGTAAACACCAAAATTTAAGAACCAGCTAAAGACCTTGGGTTGAAACTGATTATGAGAAGAGAGAAAGAAGATTGATCAAATCAAATACATAGAGGAAAGTATAGTAACATTATAATTTATTGCACATTTGTGAAATTGGAAATTGCTTGAGAATAGGTAATGTATTTTCTATTTTTCATATCCCTTATAGCCCATGATATGGTGTGAGACATAGAGTGACTTTTAAAAGTTTGTTCTGAAGATTTTCTGTCTCCTGTAAAATAGATTTGGTTTCCCAGTGGCTTTTTTTTTTTTTTTTTTTTAAACTTCACATGAGTAGCAAGGTATTAGATTGGATTATCACCTGAGTCATCTTTCAGAAAACTAACTTTAAAATATAGATTATAAGAACTATTATTAGTGTAGGGGTACTCTAAAAAAAATTTCTCCTTATCCAGACTTAAAACTTGGTGCTGAAAATTTGTGAACTCCTTCAAATAAATTAGCTCTTAATTTCTTGCTCCATATGTATCATTAATGGGATACTTCTTATGGATGTGATGGCATATGGGCCTCTTTTTGCATGTGGGAGCTTCTTCACAAATGACAGCCTTCTAAACTTACTTCTGCTCTTAATTCTATCCAGGAGATGTACGAGTAAGGAGCCGAGCAGGATTTGAATCAGAAAGAAGAGGTTCTCATCCATATATTGATTTTCGTATTTTTCACTGTAAGTGTTGGCAGTCACAAATGTTTCTTTTAAACTTTCAAAACTAATTTAGGTTTTCATAATATTATGTGGTTTTCCAAGTGGAAACAATACAAAAAACAAAAATTATTTTGTGTTTGGAATTTTTAAAAGCATTTAGGTCATAAGTGACACTATATTTCTGGATGTTAACAAATGCTTAACATTTGCTAATTGGAAAAGGGGGTATTAGGGGCTGGGGTTGTAGCTCAGTGATAGAGTGCTCGCCTAGCATGTGCGAGATCCTGGGTTTGATCATCTGTACCACATAAAAATAAATAAAATAAAGGTATTGTGTCCAACTACAACTGAAAAGTAAAATATTAAAAAAAAAAGAAAAGGGGTATTAAAATATTAACACTGCTTTAGGGCTGGGGATATGTAGCTCAAGTGGTAGAGTGCTTGCCTCACATGCACAAGGCCCTGGATTCAATCCCCAGCACCACACACACACACACACACACACACTCACTATATATAAAACAAAAGTGTCTATATTTTAATATATATATATTAAAGTATAGACACTTTTGTTTTAGTTTCTCTTTTATAATTTAACTGTGAAATTACTTTAGTATATTCATTTCTTTTAAAATGTTTTTTAGGAAGTCATTTTTATTACAACTGATTTGTCTCTACTACTCTAAACAATGTTGTTATATGAATGATATTTTATAAAGGTATTTCAGTAGTTTAACAAGGTGTTACCATTTTATGTGAAAATGCACATCACCTTCAAACATCTTGGTAAAATGCATATTTTGGAAGCAAAAATTCTGTGTGGGTCTATCCCATAATGTAGGAAAAGGGAAAAAACAGAACTTCTAAACCCCTTAAATATTAAGTACATTAAATCTGTTTCTGGAGGAGTTCCACTTTTGGTCATGTTGGGTAAAGTAATTTGGATTAACACCCTAACTGAAAAAAATGAGAAAAACTGGATAAAATATGAAAGACATGTATTCAGTGTGTCTAAATATTAATAATAAGGCAGAGAGATGAGTCTGGCTTTTCAGACTACTCTTTCCTTGAGTAGCATGTGCTGATTCTGAGAAAGGTTGATAAGAAGCACAACAGAGCTTTCGATGGACACTTACGGCTAGAGAAGCAAAAACAAGTATTTAAAGCCCACCAAGGTTATGGGGTGGTTAGGTACTGGTAAACCCTTCATGCTTAGGTTGGAACCCCAAAGTGCTACCCACATGCTAGAAATAAATGCCAGCTTTGAACTATCTCAGTCACAGATTATAGTTGATCCATGACTAATACTTTCTGCTTAATGAGGGAAAGAAACGTTACTTGTCCCTCAAGGTTGCTAGCCTCAAACACAATTGTGAGAAATGGCCCAGGCTAAATATTCATCAGGACTTTGTATTCTTGGCACATCTCTTAAGAATGTGCATGGATACTTGGGACCTTGGTGAAGGATTACCTCTTCCACTAGTAATAAATGCCTCCAAAACTTATTGTCATAAAACAATCACCTTTTTTTATGCATATGACTCCAAGAATCAGGAATTCACTCAAATCTATCAGATTTTACTTACCTTTGCTAGATGACTTCTTGCTCTTTAATTGGGAATGGCTGGAATGCCGATGCTGGGTCCATATGCCTGGAGCCATGGTTCTCTTCATGTCATATCCTGGGGCTGGAACCTTCAGCATGGTTTCTGCACTCTTAGGTCTGGTGTCAGCACTAGGAAGGCTGGAATTGCTGGGGCTGACCAGCATTTCTCTTTCCATAAATGGCAATCTCAGGGTAGTTGGACTTCTTTTTTCCCAGTACTAGGGGTTGAACCCAGGGCCTCACATACAATAGGCAAGTGCTCTACCAGTGAGTTGCAGCCCCAGTCCTTGTTTAAATTTTATTTTGAGACAGGGTCTCACCAAGTTGGCCAGGCTGGCTTTGAACTAGTGAGCTCCTGTCTGAGCCTTCCAAGTAGCTGGGATTAGAGGCTTGCAACACCATGCTTAACTATAATTAGACTTCTTACATGGGAGCTGCCTTTTCCCAGAAAAAGTATTTCAAGAGAAAGGAAGTGTAGGAAATTTGTTTCTGAAGGTCTGGGCCTGGACCCTGCAAAGCATTATGTTTCTGTATTTTCTTGATCAGCCATGTCACACAGCTTGCTCAGACTAATGGAGAGAGGATGTAGGCCACAGTTACCAAAGGGAATACAGTTGAAAGTTTTTAAATCCTCCTTCTTTAATCTGGCACAAAATTTGTTGATAAAGTAACTTAGGTTCTATAAGGAGAAGAGATAATCTCACAGAAGCAGTCTTTGAGGAGACAATGGCTGAGAAGTCTTTACAAAGTGATAAAAGACAGTAAGGCATAAACTGACTGCAGTGGCGCATGCCTGTAAACCCATTGGCTCAGGAGGCTGAGGTGGATCATAAATTCAAAGCCAGCCTCAGCAACTTAGTAAGGCCCTAAGCAATTTAGCAAGACCCAGTCTCAAAATAAAATATAAAAAGGGCTGGAAATGTGGCTCAGTGGTTTAGTGCCCCTGGGTTCAATCCCTGGTACCAAAACAACAACAACAACAAGACATTAAGGCATAGATTTAAGAAGCACTATAAATCTCAAAAAGAGAAACATTAAAAGAAACCCACATTACATATTGTATACTATTACATAGTATAACTGTAAATACTGAAGTCAAAAAGAAAATATTAAAGTTGTGAGAGAGAAAAAAGTCACCTTCAAAAGAGTGGTTATGAGATTGTCAGAAGCAGATTGTTTCATTTTCTTTTTTTCTTGGGGTCCTCTAACTTGAGCCATAGTGTATAGGGTGTATTGATTTCAGAGGTAACTTCATCCTCTGCATCCTGGGTGGTGATGGTGGCCACACAGATGTGTTGGTGGGGCAGGGCTGAGGCAAGGTAGTTCATTTACAAAAGAACTGAAATGCTAAAAGACAAAGGAAAGATAGCTCTGCTGTGCTAGAAAAACTAAATAACTGTCAAACTAAAATTTTATCCACAAACTTCTACAGAGTAGAAAGAAAAGGACATACTTCATAATTATTATGTAAGGCTAGCAAGGTCTTTATATTAACTAACTGATGTGGATACAACAAGAACAGAAAATTGCAGCCAAATCACTCATGGATATGCATAACATAATTGAATTAAATCTGTAGTATATTAGAAGACTAACGTATTTTGACCCAATTTGTGTTTTCTAGGATTATAAGGTTGGTTTAATATTGAAAAGTCAATCAGTGTAATTTGGTACAACTTTATAGGAAACTGTAAGACATTATAGAGGAAACTTAAATTGACCAAAATAGAGACATATACAATTTGTTCATGATTCAGAAGACTAAATAGAAATGTCAGTTTTTCTCAAATTGACCTGTGTATAAGTTTAGTGCAATAATAATAAAACTCACTATTTTTTTCCTAATGGAATGAACAAGCTGATTCTAAAACTTATATATAAGATTTAAAAAGTCAAGAATAACTCAGACAGTCAGGAAAAAGAGCTGTTATAGGATTTGCTTCTCCTGGATATCAAAATTTATTATAGCATATAATAACTAAATTAGGATGATATTAGTTAAAGGATTGACAAATGGGAATAATGGCACTTTATGGAGTCCAGAAAAACATCCACACGTCTATGGTATTTATGACAAATGTGGTAATGTAGATAGAAGGTAATGATAGAAGGTGAACAGTGCTATCAGATGGATGTCCTTATGGAGAATAATGAATCTGAATTCGTACCAGACATGAAAAAAATCAAATTTTGATGCGTTAACTTTGCCAAATTATGCTGATAATTCAGATAAGATGAGGAATAAGAATTGATATAGCTATGGGAAGATGGTGGTAGGGAGGCCTGAGATAGGAGTGGATATAATTATGAGAGAATAGAAAGATAGGAATTAGAGATAGCAAGGACAGACAACTTTTTTTTAGAGACTTACATTGCAAAGGGGAAAGAAAAAGAGTGATGACGGGGGAAGTAGAATCACTGAAGCTTGAAATTAATAGCAAAGTTAGAACACAGTTGAAGACTGTTTAGCTTACAGGACAATTTGTAACTTTGAAATATTTATGTTTATGAGAAAGTATGAACTAAGTCAACTAAGTAGTCCAATCAAGAAGTAAGAAAAAGAATAACAAAGGATACCTAAGAATAGGTGAAGAAAGCAACTAGTAAAAATAATAAACAGAATTTAATGAATTAGAAAACTAAAATAAAAATGGAACTACTAAATACTGAGTTTATAATAAATTGGTAATTAACTTAAGAAAGGATTTAATGAAGTTAAGATGCATACCCAAAAATTATAGGGAAAGGCCCAACAGATATAAAGAAAATTAAGGAATCAAAATAGTCTATTTAGCATGACTCTAAAAATACATTTAAATAGCTGTATGATCCAGAAAATTTTCTTGAAAGTTGTAGTTTATCTTATCAGAACTGAATGAAGATAATTCAGCTACATGATATCAACAATTGTCAAGATTTGTGGGGCACCTGTGAGGTTAAAACTGTTTTCATAATAATGCTAAGATGTTAATTTGCCTTTCTTACTCTTATTCTCTCACACAGGTCTAGTGGAATTTTCTGAGGCTACAAAATGTGTGATATCTCACATTCGGTATAGTAGCAGATATGAGAAATAGCCATATTTGAAGAGATTTACAGAAATGTAAAATAGTGTCTTTCTTCCTTCCCTCACTTTTACTTATTTATTTATTTATTTTGATGAACTCTTGCTCTGTTGCCCAGACTGGCCTGCCTAGGAACTCAGCTTCGTGGATCCTCCTGCCTTAGCTTCTGGAGGAGCTGGAACTGTAACAGTAACAGGCATGTGCCATTGTGCCTGACTTTCATTAACTTTTTCTTTATTTTGAAAGACATTTTTTTTTAATTAAAAATTATTTTGTTTATATTAACATGTTATGGGCTTATTGTTATTTTTAAATGAAGTAATAATATGTTTCAATTTTTAATTAATCCT